CCCCAGCTGGTGTCTCTGGTTTCCAGTAATTGAACACAAAGTTCACGTGGAAAGCAAACTCCTTGGGAAGGATTTCAACGCAGCGTCAACGAACGCAGGAAATCCGTGAGTTCTGTGTCCTTCTGAACACCTTCTGTGTGACTTTCCAGGCAGGCAACCAGCCTGCCAGCACACAGCTCTCATCGCTTCCCTTTCTGATACCCTCTCATTACTTTTAATTGCATCTGAGCCTCTGTAGCATCTTGTATTTTGATTCCTAATCCAGGGCATTTCTCTGCCTCCCACTGGTCCAACCCAGCATCCTTTCTCATAGCTCTCGAGAGAAGTGCCCCCGAAAATGGAGTTGATCTCCTGTAATGAATTCATCTATAATGAATAAGTATAACAACCAAGTTCTGAGCATATTTACATGGCAATCTCCATACACAAGCAACATGACAAAGGGAGTGTTTTTAAAAGAATGCCACCTCAAAGCTCCGTTTCCTATAGCACTGAGAACACTATGGGAATCACCCTGACAAGAAGACAAGAATAACTTCCAGGGATGCTGGATTAGAGACAATAACATCAGCCCTATTAATGTTTAAAACCAATGGAGCATAAAACGGCTTTTCTCTACTTACAGGCAGGCATCATCTTAGAGCGGGGAGGGAAAAAAATTACCATTTAACTCTGCTGAAATCCATACGCCCTCCCCTCATTTTCATTCCCCTTGAAATTCTCCTGTTAGCACCATCAGAATGAAAATGAGAGTCACTCTCTCTGGGGGAAATGGCTTTCAATCCTCATCAGTAAAGGCGTGAAGAGCCCTCCATGGAGATGAAGGAGGAAGGCCGCCGGTCAGGAAAGGATCTGTCACCAAAACCTGCAGAACTAGTTGTGGTGACACTTTGGGACTGGGGAGCCTCTTGGGCTGACTTATTTAAACAGTCCCAGGTCTGGGGAGATGTGAGGGAGACAGAATACAAGGGCCTGGGCAAGTTCAAGGCAGTCATGCCTTTAGGGTATGTTTTACTTAGTGGGCTGCAAGGGGGAACATCATTACTACATTAGCTGTTTTCCCCGGGGGGATTGCTGGAATTGAGCCAGGCCTCTGTTAGTAAACCATTGGGCCTAATCCCACATTACATTTGTGTAATGCCTGACAAAGCCTGTTCCCATTATCTCATTTGATCCTGAAAACAATCCTCCGAGGGAGGCAGGGCAGGGATTGTTTTTTTCCATTTTACAACTGAAAACACTTGTAAACTGACTTTGCCAGGAGCCACAACACCCCTGACAGGACCGGAATGAGACTTGAATCTAGGTCTTTGTACGACCTGTTCAGGGTTCTTTTGACTGCACACCGCAGGCTGATCAAAATATTTCCAGCCCCTCCCAGTCCTCACATTCGTAGCTTAAAGGCAACTGGGAGCTCCCACCGCAGAGCTTGTGTTTATACAGCTCACACACCTCTGTCCTAAAGAAAAAATACAGCCTGACCGGCAAGCTCTCTGAGGCGGAAAAAAAAACCACATTATTTCATCTAATTAAGCAAAATTAATCCAGATGGATTTGAAAAAATGAAGGCATTAGAAAAATCTAGGGAAATTTGAACTGAGTATTTAATAATTTTCTGGAGGCAATAAGACTAAATTTAGCACTATGCTAGAAGTCTCAAAGAAAGGGATTTTATAGATTTGACTACGTTTGTTACATTTTAGTGAGGGGAGAAAAAGACTGTACAGGACCAACAACAACAACAACAACAAAACATGAAGATATATGCTTTCAAAAATGAAAAAAAATGCTCTAGCTGGTTTGGCTCAGTGGAAAGAGTGTGGGCCTGTGGACAGAGGGTCTCGGGTTTGATTCCGGTCAAGGGCACATGCCCAGGGTTGCAGGCTCAATCCCTAGTTGGGGGAATGCAGGAGACAGCCAATTAATGATTCTCTCTCATCATTGATGTTTCATTTATTTATTTATTTATTTATTTATTTATTTATTTAAATATATATTTTATTGATTTTGTACAGAGAGGAAGGGAGAAAGATAGAGAGTCAGAAACATTGATGAGAGAGAGCCATTGATCAGCCGCCTCCTGCATTCCCAACTGGGGATATGCCCGCAACAAAGGCACATGCCCCTGTCCGGAATCGAACCCGGGTCCCTTCAGTCCCCAAGCGGACGCTCTATCCATTGAGCCAAACCGGTTTCGGCTCTTTTTTTTTTTTTTTTTTTAAGCAGACAACAGGCCCAATATGGAGTATCTTTTTTTTTTTTTTTAAATATATTTTATTGATTTTTTTACAGAGAGGAAGGGAGAGAGATAGAAATGTCGATGAGAGAGAAACATCGACCAGTTGCCTCTTGCACACCCCCTACCAGGGATGTGCCCGCAACCAATGTACATGCCCTTGACTGGAATCGAACCTGAGACCTTTCAGTCCGCAGACCGACGCTCTACCACTGAGCCAAACCGGTTTTGGCTCATCATTGATGTTTCTGTCTCTCCCTCTCCCTTTCCCCGCTGAAATCAATAAAAATACACTTTTAAAAAAAAGGAAAGGAAAGAAAAGAGTTAACAGCTGGGATGTAGAGGAGTCATGCAAATTAAGAAAAATTCAATAGTAAAAACTTATTAGGGAACAAGTCACAAAAAAGGGAAGTACAGTTGGTTAACATATGTATATGTATATGTATATGTATATGTATATGTATATGTATATGTATATACATAACTTTTTATTGATTCAGAGAGGAAGGGAGAGGGGGAGAGAGAAAATTATCAATGATGAGGGAGAATCACTGATTGGCTGCCTCCTGCACCCCCCACACTAGGGACTGAGCCCACAACCCAGGCATGTGCTCTGACAGGGAATCCAACCGTGATCTGGTTCAGAGGTCTATGCTCAATCACTGAGCCACGCCAGCCCGTCAGTTGGTTAACGTTTAGAAAACTAGTGTATCTAAGTAAAATCAAAGAAATAAAAACTGACAAATCAAAACAACAATGCGGTACCATCTCACACCTGTCAGAATGGCCAACATCAACAAATCAACAAACGACAAGTGTTGGCGAGGTTGCGGAGAAAAAGGAACCCTCGTGCACTGCTGGTGGGAATGCAGACTGGTGCAACCACTGTGGAGAACAGTGTGGAATTTCCTCAAAAAACTGAAAATGGAACTCCCATTTGACCCAGTAATCCCACTTCTAGGAATATATCCCAAGAAACTAGAAACACCAATCAGAAAGGATATATGCACCCCTATGTTCATAGCAGCACAATCTACAATAGCCAGAATTTGGAAACAGCCTAGGTGCCCATCAGCAGATGATGGATTCAAAAACTATGGTACATCTACACAATGGAATACTATGCTGCCATAAAAAGGAAGGAATTCTCATCATTTGCAGCAACCTGGATGGACTTGGAGAACATCATGCTGAGTGAAATAAGCCAATCAATGAAAGAGAAACACCACATGACCTCACTCATTTATGGATAATAAAGAACATTATAAACTGATGAACCAAAAGATAGATATAGAGACAATAAAGCAACAAGCAGACTGTCAAATTACAGTGGGGAGGGGAGGAAAATCTGGGGGAGATAATAGATCAACCGAAGGACTTGTATACATGCATATAAGTACAACCAATGGACATAAAACTCTGGGAAGGGAGGGAATAAGTGCGAGGGAGGGAGGGGGGCAAAAAAAATCAATAAAATATATTAAAAAAAAAGAAATAAAAACAGAGAAGTTACCAATTTCACCTATGAAATCTGCAAAAATTTAACTATAATACTCAAATACTAGTGCAGTTGCAATGAATAATGCATGCTCACACAGTGATGGGAGGGGAAATTCACCCAACTGGGAAGCAATCTGGCACATTTATCAGAAACCTTAAAATATCCATATCCTTTGACCTAAAATTCCATTCCTGGAAATATATTCTTAGGAAAGAGTCATCAGCGTGGAAAGCTCTATGAACAAAAAATGTCGGTCACAAGCTTATTTACAACGGTGGAATTAGGCAGACAGCAAACATGAAAGGAATTGTTCAATAGCTTATGGAACAGCCACTTGATGGGAACTTACATAATCATTGTATGTTCTCAAAGTGCATTACACCATAAACACTAACCGTTTATGGTGTAATACCAAGTGGAAAAGTGTACAGCATTTTATATATGGCTGTTTGTATAACACTTTTAATAGAAAAGGCCAGAAAGGGGGGCGGGGGAAATATTTTAATGTGAACCATGTTTGAGTCCTATGATTATTAGAGGATTTTTCATCGTCCTATATTTCTATTTGAATCTTTTATGTTATTTATTTACGTTTAATCCTCACCTGAGGACATTTTTCCAATGATTCTATCTATCTATCTATCTATCTATCTATCTATCTATCTATCTATCTATCTATCTATCATCTATCTATCCTAAGTGGAAGAGAGGGAAAGACAAGAGACACATCAATAGGTTGCCTCCGGCAGGCGCCCTGACCAGGGCCCGGAGGGGAGGAGCCTGCAACAAGGTACATGCCCTTGACCCTAATCGACGCAGGACCCTTCCATCCGCAGGCCCACCACGCTCTATCCACCGAGCCAAACCTGCTAGGGCTGAATCTTTTATTTTTTTAATGAACAAAGTCAACTGTTCTTTAGCCATGCGGTAGCGCGTCCTTCTCGCCCTGTGCTAGAGGACTGGGAGTCGGGGCGGGGGAAGCTCGGAAACTCTGCCTCAGATCGGTTCATTCCCCCTTCCTGATGGCCCCTCAGCACCCCCAATTCTCTCTCCCTTCCCCCGCCTCCACCCTTCCGAGGCCGGCCCTGGGCCCTCCCCTCCCCCACCTTCCCCCGCCCAAGCGGCGGGGGCGGCGGGGCGCGGGGGCGGGGCGGGGCGGTCCCAGGCGTTGAAGACACGTGGGGAGGGAGCCGGCGTCCGAGCAGGAGGGTGCGGCGTGTGGGTGGGTGTGTCTGAGAGTGGGAGAAACCAACCCCGGCCGCCTCAGGGGTCTCCGCTGTCTTAGGGCGCTCTCCCGCCCGGGGACCTACCCGGGTCTCCCCACGTCCTGGATCCCGTTAGAGGTGGATACGGAGCGCCGGTAGGAGAAGACGCCTGCCACCGCCCTGCGCGGTCCCCGGTGGCCCGCGCCGCGCTGCCGCCTCGCGCGTCCCCCCCCGGCCCCGGGCGGTGGTAGGGCCCGCGGCGACGTCACCCATTGTTTACAAATCAACCCGAGCCGGTAGGACTCCTGCTGCCGCGGCTGCTGCGCGCGGCTCCGGTGCCCGCCGCCTCCCGCTTTCGCGTCCGCCCCGGCCTCAGCCTCGGCCCCGGCTTCAGCCTCGGCCCCGGCTTCGGCCTCAGCACCGCCCCCGGCTCTGCCGCCGCGGCCCCCGGAGCCGCCAGCGACGCCCGCAGAGTCCCCGGCGCCGGGGCGGGGGGCCATGCCGTGCCGGCGGGAGGAGGGAGAGGAAGCCGGCGAGGAAGCGGAGGCGGAGGAGGAGGAGGAGGAGGAGGAGCGGGGCGGCTTCCTCCTGCTGGAGCGGCCGGTGACGCGGGGCGGCTCGGGCGAGGTGGACCGCCTGGTGGCCCAGATCGGCGAGACGCTGCAGCTGGACGCGGGGCCGGACCGCCCGGCTTCCCCGTGCGCGCCCCCGGCGCCGCCGCCGCCCCCGCGGCCCCCGGCGGACAAGGCCCGGCCCCCGGACCGGCCGCTGCCGCTGCTGCCGCCGCCCGCGCCCGCCGGGGCGCTGAGCCCGGCGCCGCCCGGGGCCCTGCGCTGCGCCCTCGGGGAGCGCGGCCGCGTGCGGGGCCGGGCTGCGCCCTACTTCGTGGCCGAGCTCGCCGCCGGCCCCAGCGCCCTGCCCGGACCGTGCCGGCGGGGGTGGCTGCGGGGCGCTGTCGCCTCCCGCCGCCTGCAGCAGCAGCGCCGGTGGCCCCCGCCCGGGGCGCGCGCCCGCGACGACGACCCGCACCGGCTCCTGCAGCAGCTGGTGCTCTCCGGGAACCTCATCAAGGAGGCCGTGCGGAGGCTGCAGCGGGCTGTCGCCGCGGTGGCAGCCGCGGGCCCGGTGGGGCCGGACCACGTCGCCCGGCAGCCCTCGGGCGCCTGGCACTGACGCGGGGCCCCGGGAGGAGGAGGAGGCAGAGGAGGCCGCAGCGCAGACCCATCGGCGTCCTGCCCTCGCCCGCCCGGAGCTGGAGCCGCCGCCGCCGCCGCCGCCGCCGCCGCCGCCTGGGCAACGGGGAGGCGTGTAGGAGGGGACACCCCGGGCCGAGGAGCGGCCGCCCGGGCGAGGGCGGGAGGAGAGAACTTGAACGTGGAGAAATGCACGGGCCAGGACGAGCCCGTGCCGCGGGAGAACGTCCCCGGCCGCCTGGGTGCCAAGGAACTGGGATAAACTGGGAGAACTATGGCAGCTACTTCTATTGACTCGGACCTGACTTTATTTACTCTTGGGGACGTCGTGCGCTTGGATTGTTTAAAAAACAAAACAAAAAACCGATAGGGCCCCAAGGGGCGGGAATCGTGAGGGCTTTATAACAATACTTGAAAACTCAATGACAGGAATACATTTTCTTTATTTTTTCCGCTGGAGGAGTTGAGTGAAAATGGTGCTACAATTGTGCAAAGAAATTCCGGGGAGGGAGAGGGGGAGAAGAATGTAAAAGCGTGGCCGTGGGTGGGTGGGTGGCATCACCCCATTTCTCGCACCGAATTGGCAGCTCCTCGAGGTGGGAGATGTGATCGTCAGTTAGAGGGTGGGAGGGAGGTGGAGAGTTTTGGAGGTGGGTGACGTTGGAGTTGGGTTTGGGTATTTAAAGTAATTGACCTTGCCACCTGTAGTTCAAGGTCACGGTTTGCTGTCTGTGGGAGGCTGCGGGGTTCCCGGGAGAGCTGACTCACCCCCATGTCCTTTCTTTCTCTTCCTCCAAGAAGAGGCCAGTCTGTGCTTTCCTACCTTTTGGGAGTCTCCAGAAAAGACAGGTGGAGAGAGGGACATGGGGGGAGCGTTACTTGTTTTTTTTTCTTTCTGTGCTTTTCCTTTCCAGAACTCCTCCTCCTCCTCCCATGAGGCCACTCTTGGCCATGCCATGTGCTTTCTCAGAAACGGTCATAAACAATCTCTCGGATCCCCAGCCCTCTCCCGTTCTGCTTTTGTCAGCCCACCTGCTCTGGTGTCTGCACGGCTAGACGAGACCATGGCTGTTTCCCTGCGCTGCGCTGGCCCCTCTGTGGATCCGTGGGCCTGAGCCTCCGTGGGTCCTCGCCCCTCAGTTTCCTCCTGCCGCCAACCCTTCTCTGGGAGTGACTGAAACCATTTTTAAAATGTGACTCTCCTCCGAACGGAGGAACCGCGGGCTTTACCTTTGTGAAACTTGATGGCGCTGTAAGCGAGGTGCGCGGTCCCCCTCCCCCAACTCGAAGGTAGCTAAACCCATTTTTAAAAAAAGATTCAATGGCTTTTTCATCCTTCAGATGTAGCTGTTGAGGTACACTTCGCACCGGAGTGTCTGAAATTGTGGTGGTCCTGATTTATAGGATTTCTTAATTAAAATGTCCGCTGAATAAATTTGTTTTTGTGTTGTTTTGGAGCATGGTTTGGCTTTTTTGGTGGGAGCTGGGGGGTAGAAGAGAACTTGGGGATACATCTAATAATGAAGACTGCACTTGGGGAGACCCAGGCCCAGCACAGAATGCTGGCAGCCCTGCAGGACTTCGGTGCTTCTCTTCTGGTTGATGGTCCACAAGATCAGAAAATTAAACTTAGTTTTTGTTGTTGTTAATCCTCACTGGAGGGTTTTTGTTTCCTCTGGTTTTTGGAGAGAGTGGAGGGAAGGGAAGGAGGGGGAGTCAGAGAGAAACATCGATTGGTTGCCTCCAGTACTCCCACCTGACAGGCGACAGACGGATTCAGCCTGCAACCCAGGTACATGCTCTGGACGGGGAATGGAACCTGAGACCCTTCCGTGCTCAGGCCGACACTAACCACTGAGTTACACCAGCCAGGGCATTGAATGTGGAGTCCCTTCCTACTTGCTCCCTTGCCCTTTTCAAGAAAGCCTTTCTTGGTAAAGCCCCAGAACTGGAGCTTCAGGGGAAGTGACTCAGTTTGAGTCAGCCTGCTGCCCACTAGCTGTGTCATATGGGGCACGTCACTGTTCTGTGCTTTTTTCCCTTTTCTCATTTATCTAACAGTAATACTCGCTGTGCATATTTGTCAGGACAAACTGAATATTAACATCTATAAAGCAGCCCAAACTGGTTTGGCTCAGTGTATAGAGCGTCTGGCCTGCAGACTGAAGGGTCCCAGGTTTGATTCCGGTCAAGGGCATGTGCCTTGGTTGCGGGCACATCCCCAGTAGGGAGTTGCAGGAGGCAGCTGAATCAGTATATCTCATCGATGTTTCTAACTCTAACCCTCTCCTTTCCTCTCTGTAAAAAATAAAAAAATCTATAAAGCAATATATTTTTTAGAAAAAAATAAAACTAATACTTAATAGGGTAGTTGGAGGGTCATGTGAGGATCTGCGGTGTCTGGAATATTTGAGTGCTAATTTTTAAAAATACATATTTTTTTAATTGATTTTTTAAATTTTAAAAAAATTTATTTAAAAAAAATTTTTTTAAAAGAAAGTTGTCATTTTTTCTTTAAAAAAAAATATATTTTATTGATCTTTTACAGAGAGGAAGGGAGAGGAATAGAGAGTTAGAAACATCGATGAGAGAGAGTCATCGATCAGCTGCCTCCTGCACATCCCCTACTGGGGATGTGCCTGCAACCAACGTACATGCCCTTGACCGGAATCGATCCCGGGACCTTTCAGTCTGCAGGCCGACGCTCTTTCCACTGAGCCAAACCGGTTTCAGCTATTTTATTGATTTTTTTTTAGAGAGGAAGGGAGAGGGGTAGATGAAAGTTAGAAACCTCCATGAGAGAGAAACATTGATCATCTGCTTCCTGGGCACCCCCTCCTGGGGATGTGCCCGCAACCAAGATACATGCCCTTGACTAGAATCGAACCTGAGACCCTTCAGTCCGTAGGCAGGCGCTCTATCCACTGAGCCAAACCAGTTAAGGCTGAGTGCTAATTCTTGATATCACCATTGGGCCTTCCTCAATCAGGTGGCCCAGATCTGCCTACTAAACGTGCCCCACTCACACGTCAGCCACCCCTACTCTCCCACCAGGAGCAGAAGCAGGTTTCTTCCTCTTTTGCTTCGGAATTTCCTTTTCCTGAACTCCTTCCAGAATGCCACCTCCACAAGCCTTCCCAACAGTTTGCTGTCATCAGTGGGGGTGGGGGTGGGGGTGGTAGCATTTACTGAGCACACTCGTGCCACATACTGTTCTGGGTGCTTTAAATCATTAGATCATCTTACTGTGTCATGGCTTTATCTGCCAGGGGGTGGGTGCTATTTATTTTATAGATGACACAGGCCCCGGAGATTAAGTGATTTGTCTGAAGCTACCACCTTTTAAGTGGGTGAAGCTGGGATTTGATCCCAGGCAGTCTGGCTGTAGGATCTCGTTCCCTCCACCAGATCTTCCAATCATACTGGACCATCCACATGAGACTTCCTGGACACCATGTGCTCCCCTGTTGGCTTTATGAAAGTTCTGAAGAGTGTCCTACAAACCTCGACCCACGAAATACCTCAGCATACCAGCATCACTATCCTCACACTTTTCTTTTATACCAGCCTCATAGTGGGAGGTGCTGGGGATCCGGGATGGGATGTGGCAGGGGTTCAGACATCCTGGAAGAACCCACAAGGCCTTCACATACGGGAATGGGGATTGCATAAGAGAAGCACAGATCATCCGTGGTATATGGCTGCTGCTTTTAGACCCTCAACTCTGTAACATGAGGGCATAGGGCCAAGACAGTAAGTCTCACCCAGGGCAGCTGTCCTGTGAGTCTGCAGGATGGCCAGAACAGCCCTCAGGGGGGACGTTAGAATGGAGACTCTGGACAAGGAGGGAAGATCTACAGAACCTGAAAAGTGAGGGAAAGGGAACTGAGAGCCCTGTGATAGGCAAACACTCTGCAGGCACCTTTCTCACACCTTTCACAAGATGTTGCTTTTAAAAAATGTATATTTTATTTATTTATTTATTTATTTATTAATATATTTTATTGATTTTTGTACAGAGAGGAAGGGAGAGAGATAGAGAGTTAGAAACATCGATGAGAGAGTCATCGATCAGCTGCCTCTTGCACAACCCCTACTGGGGATATGCCCGCAACCAAGGTACAGGCCCTTGTCCGGAATCGAACCCGGGACCTTTCAGTCCCCAAGCCAACGCTCTATCCATTGAGCCAAACCGGTTTCGGCAAAAAATATATATTTGATTTTAGAGAGGAGCGAAGAGAGAGAGAAACATCAATGATGAGAGAATCATTGATCGGCTGCCTCCTGCACGCCCACACTGGGGATTGAGCCCTTAACCTGGACATGTGACTGACCAGGAATCAGGCCGTGACCTCCTGGTTCATAGATCGACATTCAACCACTGAGCCATGCCAGCTGGGCAGGATGTTGCTTTTCAAAGGGGAAGGGTAGGAATTATTGGTGCGAGAGCAGGATCTGAATTCATGGCTTTTAGGGTGACCCTCTTGCCACCTGGCTGAGCCTATGTACACCTTTCTTCCTTTACCCCAGCCCGGGCTACTGACCAGCCGTTTGCAGAAGCTGTAGAGAGCCTGGGCCTGGGCCTGGGCTTGAGAAAGTGTCTCTGTGTCAAGGAGGCAATGGTCCTTTCCAAGGTGTTGACCTTTGGGATAGCATTTCCTAATAATACTTGGCCCAGGAATGATGATGGCTCGGGTCTTTAACCCCTTGGGATGGATAGGCACAGAACTAGGGGTGTGGGCATAGGCAGAGCTGAGTCAACTCCGTCTTCTGAAGAGGCTGAGGCCTGGGTTTCCCTGGTAACGTTCTGCAAGTCTTGAGTCCAGAAAGACCAGAACAGTAGGGAAATGGTAAGGAGAGGCTGACTGTATGTGGTGGAGGGGTGGTGGGGATTGATGAGGCATTTCACGTGGGAAGTTACTGGGACAGCAGCCTGTTGCTTCATAAATGACTATAAATTGGAGAGAGATCAGGGTTGGAGATTAAAGATTTGGCATTTGG